CACAGTAGAAAGGTTTTATGTGTTTACACATTTAAAATATTTAACAAACTGACTCTTCTAATGACAGATATTGAAAAATATCTAGTAAAGAATAAAAGTCATACATCAGGCTCCACAATAGTATTACAGACCTAATTTGAATTCTAAGTGTTATTTTATATTAGTAGTTCCTATCGCATACGTGTTTAGGGACATTCAACTCCAAAATACTCTTCTTAAAGCACTCATATTGAAAGGCAAAGCAACTTCTTTAGGTAGACTGGGTTAACTCCTACACTATTGCCACACTCAAGAACAGCATTTTAAAAAACTCCAGCAAGTCAAAAATTCATTGTCCCAGTCCTTGTTCTACTAGGAAGGAGTGTCTCTTACAGGAGTTTAATGTGTAAGTTGTAAGGTTCAGGCACAGCTGTACAATCTGTGCATCACTGATTATCTACCCTCTTGCCAATGAAAACAGAACTTTTTCATAATCAAGCTTCCAGTGTAACTTGAAAAGCCACTGGCGAAGCATTCTAAGTGTTCATTAGAATCTAAGTGGGTCTAATTTAGGATCTAACTGTATCTAGATTCTGAATTTCTTCAGGTTTTTCTTTGTCAGATCCACAGGCCATATTAGTTGTTATTCCTTTTTTGTTACTTTTACAACCGTTTATCAGAACAAAGCACTTAAGAAATTTTACTGATACTTTGACCCCACTAACATTTTACACCCCCTTGCTTTTCAATCCTAGAATCACCATTAGCTCCCTTTTGATGAAGCAGGAGTTGATTCAGCTGCGCTTTTAGCTGGGCTTTCAGCTGGACACGGAAAGCGGAGGTAGATGAATTGTCATGATCAAGTGGGTGTCATCAGGTACTTAGGTTTTATTTTGTTCTTACGGTCTTTCCAACTTACTAATAAAAATATTGAAATCTATTTCAAAAATGAGGTAGCCTCATGTTATTTTATATCTGTCAGGAATACAGTACCATGGGGAATTTTATTTCCCCAGAAAGCAAGATTGCACCCCTTTAGTATGGTACATTGAACTTTAAAAGAGGTGCCCTTGAACGTGTGGAAGACGAAGTTTATGATTTAAAATTTGATAATTTTTAAAAAGGTGAGCTAAGTAAACTACGTCCTAAGTTTCAAGGTTTTTCTGAGTGATTCAAAGATGTAATGAATTTTCCATGGGTCTTTACTGTCTCAGGAGTCATCATCTGATAAAATGCACATTGATGATAGGTCCATAATTGTGGTTCTGACATTTATGCAAGCTTCACACTTCACTGTGAGCATTCAGCCCTTTGTTCTTAAGAATCGTGACCTATTGCTCTATAGTATATTTATAACACAAAGCATTAATCTCTGTCAACTAATAATAAACATGTCATGGCTATGAAAGTATAGTGAGCCCAGGGCCTGTTTATCTACCTTGTTATTATTTGCCCCTGGAACCATTCTTAAATTCAGCTCTAGACAGTCTTTTTAGACCAAGCTATCAACAAAAATCAGCATGTAGAGTAGAACTAATTTTTTTTTCTTTTTTTAGACAAGGTCTCATTTTGTCACCCAGGCTGGAGTGCAGTGGTGCAGCCACGGCTCACTGCAGCCTTGACCTGCTATGCTCAAGCGATCCTCCTGTCTCAGCCTCCTGAGTAGCTGGGACTACGGGCGTATGCCACCAAGCTGGCTAAATTTATTTTTGTAGAAACAAAATCTCACTATGTTGCCCAGGCTGAGTCTTGAACCCTGGGCTCTGGCGATCCTACCACCTTGGACTCCCAAAGTGCTGGGATTACAGGCGTGGGCCCCCACACGTAGCCTTAGAACTAATGATTAAGTCAGTAAAGTAGCAAGTCTTCCTTCTATGATGTATTCTTATTCTACATTACCACTATGAATGATAAATTGCCTTTTGTTTTCATAACGACAAAAAGCTTGTCTTTTTAAGACTTAATTAAATTGTTAGGAATGATGCATTTCTCATTCGCCAAGATACTACTTGCCTTTTAAATTATAAAAACATATAGATGTAAAAAGAAGGTAATAGTTTCATTTCCTTCTCTTTTTAAGACAACACACTAGAAAAGCAACAATCTTTGACCTAATGTAAAAGTTGCTCCTTAATTTTTTATACCAGCAACAATACCTTTTTTCAGTGTTAGAGACTTCCTAAAAAGTTTTAAATACTAGTTTAAATTGTTTACATATTATAAGATTGGAGCTAATTAGTTTATGCATTTCTACTTGTATCTCTAAACTCTGGGAATTTATTCTAACACCATTCACCAGAAAAGGTAACCCAACCTAAGGAAGGTTCCTGAAGAACAATCATTAGGAACTGCATGAGAGAGGCACACTACATTCCCAGTCACCCTTTATGCTGGGCTCTCAGGACTAAGATCTAATGAAACCTTAGTGAAACTGGAAATCAAAGTAAAAAATTATGCTCTCTGAAAATATGCTAAGGACTTGGCAATGTTTTTTTTTTTTCTCGAAGCATTTACCTTACAATTTTGAAGTTACAAATGTTAGCATAAAAGATACTAATTTTTATGAAATTTATTTCTTCCCTTAAATATTTTAGTCATGTAATTTAAAATTAAATTCAATGTAGACTGTAGAACTAAGTTGAAGACTGAGAGAAAGCCATTCTCCAGGATACATTAAATTGGGTGGGGATCCATTCAGTGAAACTGCAGGGATCAGTAGGAAGTACAGCCACGCAACCAGTGGAGCTAAGCATGGATGCTAATGAACTCTTCAGGCAGTTTTTGAAGGATAGGAGGAAGTAAAGGAAAATGAAACAATGATGAGGACAAGAATAATGTAAGAAGAGTAAGACAAAAGGTACATAAGAAAGGGCATGAAAGTGCACCACCAGGAACTCCTCAGAGCCACCCATGCTATAGGTTGCCTTCCCCCCCCAATCTCATGTCATATTTTCTATTCAGTTTTCCATTGATTTAATGTCAAAAGTCATCTAGACATAGGCCAATTTAGAGTAACATTGGTATAAATTAAAATATTCTTAAATGCAGCTAAAATGATTAGAATTATCCAAAGTAAATTGCTTTTAAACGATGTGTACTTTTACTTTCTTTTTTTTTTTTTTTTTTTTTTTTTTGAGACAGAATCTCGCTCTGTTGCCCAGGCTGGAGTGCAGTGGCACAATCTCAGCTCACTGCAACCTCCGCCTCCCAGGTTCTTCTCCTGCCTCAGCCTCCCAAATAGCTGGGACTACAGGCGCCTACCGCCACGCCTGGCTAATTTTTTGTATTTTAGTAGAGATGGGGTGTCGCCGTGTTTCCCACGCTGGTTGTGAACTCCTGAACTCAGGCAATCCACCCACCTCAGCCTCCCAAAGTGCTGGGATTACAGGTGTGAGTCACCATGTCTGGCTAGAATTTGAATCTTAATACAAGAATTATGCAATTTTCAGTGGAAATTACAAGTCTTAAAGCAGGGCTATGGAATAAGCATTGTAAATATGATCAAAGGGATGAACACATCTTGCATAAAGTATCAATAATCTGGGTGGTATATTACTGCTTAAATGGATGGATCCCAGCAATATCCATGGCAATCAAATTTAACCAAAATGTTTCTGGAAGTTTCTTGGCCATCTGTTACATTATTATCCAATCGAGTTTCTATAACAAGGAATGTTACTCCCTTTCATACTTTTCTTGGCCTCAAATGCCAGAACCTTTTGAATTTGAGAATTTTCTGAGTCTTATCAAAAACAGGATGAGGAGATAAAAGCAGAGTTTTGACTCTGTATTCTTTTCAGACTCTCAGAAACGTGTCTGGATTGAACACAAAAAATTTAGGCTTATCAGGTCACATTTTTGCAGCAGTAACACTTCATTCAGAAATTAGGACTTAGTTTGACTAGATTAAACCACAAATTTTTATATTAGTATTTTTCATTTTCTTTGTGTATTTTAAATCTTTTCCCACAAATAGTATTAAATATGTATTTATGGAATTTAGCATCTTACCTTTATACTTTTTCTTCTTAATTTTATATTATTATAGCAGAGTATTCTCCATATGAGTCTTTGACAATAGAGCTTTTTCAGTGTTATAGATCCAGTCTGATTCATTCCATTAAACTGAAAACTACATATGTGAAGTTTAATATACAAATACATATGCTGAGATCTAAGTTATATTATATATACTTAAGTCACTGCTATTTTAATATGGAAACTAACCAAGCAATTTCTTTTAGTTTCAGATTATCTTTTTTCCTAAAATCAGCCAAATTTTGAAGAAAAAAAAACATTGTAGAGGTCTTTACAGAGATAAGTTTTCATTTTTGAATTACTTTCTATGAAATTGGGGAGAAGGTGTCTTAAGGGGAGTCTGTGCTAAAACTTTTTTTTTTTTGAGACGGAGTCTCACTCTATCGCTCAGGCTGGAGCACAGTGGTGTGATCTCTGCTCACTGCAAGCACCACCTCCCGGGTTCATGCCATTCTCCTGCCTCAGCCTCCCAAGTAGCTGGGACTACAGGCACACGTCACCACACCCCAGCTAATTTTTTTATTTTTAGTAGAGACGGGGTTTCACCACATTGGCCAGGCTGGTCTCAAACTCCTGACCTCGTGATCCACCTGCCTCTGCCTCCCAAAGTACTGGGATTACAGGCGTGAGCCACTGTGCCCGGCCTAAAACTTTTTAAAAAATTAACAGTTTTTGTTTTTGATCTTCTTTTACAGACAGGGTCCTGCTCAGTTGAACAGGCTACAGTACAGTGGCATAGCTCACTGCAGCCTCCATCTCTCAGGCTCAAGCAATCCTTCCACTACCTCAGCTTCTGAGTAGCTGGGGCTACAGGTGGGCACCATCATGCCTGGCTAATTTTTAAATATTTTGTAGAGACACGGTCTCATGTTACCCAAGCTGGTCTTGAACTTCTGGGCTCAAGTGATCCCCCTGCCTTGGACTGCCAAAGTGCTAGGATTACAGGCATGAGCCACCACGCTTGGCCTAATTTTTTTTTATTTTTAGTAGAGACAAGATCTTGCTATGTTGCCCAAGCCGGTCTCAAACTCCTGGGCTCAAGCGATCTTCCCTCCTCAGCCTCCCAAAGTGCTGGGATTATAGGCATGAGCCACCTTACCCAGCCAAAATTAACATTTATAATAGTGGGTTTGATGATTGGTCTTAGTTGTATGTTTTGTTGAACTTCTCAAAAATGAGAAAGTAACGTTTTATATAACTGGACATGAGTGAATGAAATCATTTTCTAAAAACTTATAGTAAGAACATGAAAAGGTAGTATGGTCAAAATGTAGATTTTTTTTTTTCCTGCAAAAGAACCATCCACAGGCAAATTACCTAAGTCCCCTGAATATGAAATATGAAACTATTAGAAGTGGTAAGGTACAACTGCGTGTATGACAAAGTAAGTTGCTGAATGTCTTCACAATGAAAAGCACTACCTTTTAAAGGTCTCAAGCACTAAAGCATAATTTTAGGGATATAGGAAAGAGTTCTTGTTTTTATAAATGAGTATGGGTCACGGCATGACTTTGGTTTTAATTTTGGGACCTCAAACTGAAAGCTTTCTTATGATAATCTGTATATAAATAGCAAAAATATAATGGGAATGTTCATAGGTAACACACTAGGATAAATAATATGAGTGAAAATTTTTGCCAGAAAGTTCTGGAAATGTAGGACTTGGTTCTTTCTATAAGTACTTTTAACCTTTTCAGACTCATTAATTTCATAAACCAATTTAAGCAATTATTTCTATCAGCTACAGATATTTTCTTCACAAATATAAAGGGTTTTGCCCCCCTCCCCATCCTCCGGCCTCCACCAATTTCTGCCTGTAACTGCCACTTGATAACTGCTAAGTAAGACTTTGTTTAAATATCAGGTTCTAGTGCTAACAAATCTGGAAGTCAGAAGATTTCTAAGTTACAATTGCCAGAATATCTTTCATGCATTCTATTTTACTTTATTGTTACAATTTAAACAATTCAGAAACGTGGGGTGTTTCTGGCTACTTGAGTAAAACACACTGCAAACGCAAAGGGAACAATGCTGTAAACTTAAATGATTTCTGAACAGCTCAGGATTCTCCGGAGAGGATCCTTTTCATTTCACGTATTGATTCTGAACACATTGTTAGCACCCGCTCCCAGAAGGTTCCTTGACACTGGAGCAAGTCAGAATATCTTAATATTATAGCTTATTTAACAGCAGGAAAGCAACTTTAACACAGACTGGAGGTTTAGGTAGATCTGGTATTACCTAGAACCCAGGCTTAAATTTTGCAAAAAGTTTCCACAGAGCATAAGAAAGTAACACAGAGGTACCAGAACTGAAGACATCATTAACAAACAAAATATTTCCACTCCTAACCAAACTGCAACCCTTTCAGTATAGCTTGAGGTATTTTTAAATATTTGTACAAGCTAAAGATCATTCACAGTTTTCAAAGTTGCTTTTTACTGAGATAGCTTCAAATTTTCACAATATGTGACTTTCAGACATGTTTTCATATACCGGAGTCTCTGCCCTCAGACTCACGGAAACATCAGAGATATTCAGTGGCAGAAAATGGTTCTTGTAGTGATAAGGGTTCTATTTCCCAATTATTGTGCTATTCCTAGGATGTGATTAAAAAAATATGAAATTTGCATTTCGTATAAAAGGAAAGGAAACTTGCTTAAAATTCAAAAAGCAAGTCCAGTCTGGTGGAGGTATGTGAGATATTAAATAATAGAGTCAGATTCTTTCTTGAACACTCCAGATGAACTTGACAGCAGAGAGTTCTGGTTTTCCAACATTTTCTCCATCTTTTCTTTTCCAGTGGTTTTACTGATCTCTCTTTGCTTCTTACTATGGATCCATGGGATAAAACAAAGCACAGCACCTCCAATAAGGGGAGGGACTCCAGCGAGGTAGAATGCCACGTCATAGGAGCCCAGCTTGTCACGAAGTAACCCTGAGAAGGGAAAAAGCTGTCACCAAGGGAGAACAAGTGAAGCTCTGGAGGGGTCTAGATCAGTCACAGGGATGGCCTAGTCCCAGCCTAATTTCACCTCCACAGGACTGGTTCAAACATCTCAGATATCAGACTTTTTTTTTTTTAAGGAAACAGATCTGAAATATAAACCTTTATTGATAGAAAAAAAAAATCTCATATATGTAACGTTGTCATAAAGTACAGGCCTCTGGATTTTCATACCAAGACATTACTTGAAAAGCTGGAAAGGCAGACTTTTTTTTTTTTTTTTTTTTTTGAGACAGGGTCTCACTGTGTCACCCAGGCTGGAGTATGGTGGCATAATCATGGCTCACTGCAAGCTTTGACTTCCCAAGCTCAACTGATCCTCCCAGCTCAGCCTCTTGAGTAGCTGGGACTACAGGTGCATGCTACCATGCCTGGCTAATTTTTGTATTTTTTGTAGAGATGGGGTTTTGTCACATTGCCCAGGCTGGTCTCAAGCTCCTGGGCTAAAGCAATCCTCCCACCTCAGCCTCCCAAAATGCTGGGATTACAGGCATGAACCACCATGCCCAGCTTTCAAACTACTCTTTGGTCTATTTGGTTTTTATGAAATAACATGAAACTATTTAACATTATAATTCAAAATTGAGAAAAATTGTAAATTTAATAATGTGGATGAAAGTTAGGTTGTTAAATACATTTTGGAAAGAGACTAAGGTTTATAAGTACCTGGAAGAAAATATAAATATATAAGAATTATTAATGGCATTCTATATTTGGGTTCTGCTTCTGAAAACTATTATTTAGGGTACTCAACATTTCCAATTTCTCTAACAAATTCCAGGACTCATGGTTTTAAAAGTTATCTTAGTGTTTTTAAACTTTTATAACTTATACAACCTAAATTATCTAAAATGTCCAGGGAACATACTGTACTAAATATCTATCTGACTTTGTTAAGTAAATAGCTGACCATTTGTCTAATTAAGTACCAACACATAAAAATGTGTATATCCATTCTGCATAAATAAAATAGACAATATCTGTAAATGTACAAGTTTTCTATCTTTGGAATCAGACCATTCCATACATAACTGAACTCTTCCTCCTTATGAACACTCATGATTATGTTCTGCTGTAATACTGTGATACCCTCAGAGCCTCCTGGTGAGCCAGCAGCTTTCTGCTGCCAGTTGCTGTGTGGTGGTGTTCTGCCTGCTTCCGAAGTTTCCTGTTACCTCCCTTATTCTTGCTCTGTTAACTGTCACTTCTGGTAGCAAAACTATTTACTACTAGAGTGCTGCTTATATAAAATCTGTTGTGGACTTAGAAACTGTAAAACTAAGCTTGTAGGGTATAAAAAGAAGACTGAACAGTATATTACCTGTGGGAGAGAAGAAGGAATGGAGGGTTCTCCTATAGGGAGACCGTGACCTTTTGAACTTAAACTGTATGTGGTCTGCTCAGTAGTAACTCTGCTTGCTTGATTCATGACTAGGAATGCAGTTTAGGATATGAGAATGCATTGAGCTAAACCTTCACTGAGTGTCTCATGTGCCAAACACAGATGACAGTACATACATTTACATTTTATCATATTTATATTGAATCTTCTAATACTAATTGACACAGGCACCCAAGTAATACTGAACATTAGACATCTTTATAGTATCATTCAGAGAATTTCTAGAGGTGGAATTCACATGAGATAGAATTAACCATTTGAAAGTGAACAATTCAGTGGCATTTAGCACATACACAATGTTGTGCACCCACCGCTTCTATTCCAAAATATTTTCATCGTGCCAAAAGGACACTTCATCCCAATTAAGTAGTTACTTCCCAATCCTCTTTCTCTCCAGCCTCTGGCAATCACCAGTCTGTTTCCTATCTGTATTTATTTACCTATTTTGGACATTTCACATGAAATAAATCATACGATATACAACCTTTTAGAGTGAGACAGGGTCTCACTCTGTCACCCAGGCTGGAGTGCAGTGGTGCTCTCACAGCTCTGCAGACTTGATCTCCCAGGCGCAAGAGATCCTCTCACCTCCACCTCTGGAGTAGGTGGGATTACACTACTATTAGTATGTGCCACCACGCCAGGCTAGTTTTTTTTTATTTTTAGTAGAGACAAGGTCTTGCTATGTTGCCCAAGCTAGTCTGGAACTCCTGAGCTCAAACGATCCTCCTGCCTTGGCCTCTCAAAGTGCTGGGATTACAGGTGTGAGCCACCATGCCAGCCATGTCACCTTCTATGTCTGGCTTCTTTCACTTATATGTTCTTGAGGTCCATTCACCTGGTAGCATCAGTTCTGTACCTTACTCCTTTTTATGGCTGAATAATATTGCACTGTAGATATTCCACATTTTGCTTACCCAATTAGCTATTTACGGGCATTTGGGTTTTTTCTATTATGTTATTTTTCATCAACTACTCCTCAGGGGGATGTATGATCTCTTACCAAAAGCTGACATATTTAGAAATCTTCCAGAATCTTCATCTCTTTTTTTTTTTTTTTTTTTAAATAGGGTTTCGCCCAGGCTGGGGTACAGTGGTATGATCACAGCTCACTGCAGCCTTGACCTCTGGGCTCAAGCAATCCTCCCACCTCAGCCTCCTGTGCATCTGGGACTGCAGATGCATGCCACCATGCTTGGCTAATGTTTTTATTTTTTATTTTTTGTACAGATAGTATCTCACTATGTTGCCCAGCCTGGTCTCAAGCTCCTGAGCTCAGGTGATCTTCCCGCCTCAGCCTCCCAGAGTGCTGCTATTGCAGGTGTGAGTCACTGTGCCTGGCCCACTGTTACATATTTTATTCAGTGTTTTAGCTGCCAGTAAGGATAAGAGGGACTTTTCAGCAAACTTTTTCAACATACCGTTTATAGCTAGTCTTATTAAAAATGTTACTGGTAAGGCACACATGAAAGCAAAAGACCAGTAATCAATAACCTGTAATACATTTTACATATAAGTGAGACTTAATTAAGACCTGAAGTAGAAAATACTATGAATTAATATAATTACTGGAGAATCATTATATTTACCTGCAATGGGTGGTCCAACAGTCATGGGTATAGACATAAATCCGAGCAGAAATCCAATTGCTTGGGAGACATCCTGGGCACCAACCAACTCAAAGGCTATGGGAGCCATAATGGAAATGAAGCATCCATCGAAGAGACCCATGATGAGACACACAGCAATGAGGGCCCCAAAGATGCTACACAGAGGAATCATCATGGACATCAGACCAATGAAGAAAAAGGAGAGTACCTAGGACGGACACCACAATGTCAGCTCCACTCGCAGGAAGTGAATGTCACAATTACTATGCAACATGCTTAGGACTTCTAAGTCACTACTGGTTCCCCTTTTTCCCCCCTGCCACTGCCCCATTCACTTTGATTTTACATACATAAACAACTCCTATAATCATCTCCTTCGAGTTCCCCTAGCACTTTCTTAATATTTCCACTAAGGGACAAGAAGAAAATAACTTTTTGTTTTGAGCCGGAGTCTCTCTCTGTTGCCCAGGCTGGAGTCCAATGGTGTGATCTCGGCTCATTACAACCTCCACTTTCCAGGTTCAAGCAATTCTTCTGCCTTAGCCTCCTGAGTAGCTGGGACTATAGGCAAGCACCACCGCGTCTGGCTAATTTTTGTATTTTTAGTAGAGACGGGGCTTCACCATGTTGGCCAGGCTGGTCTTGAACTCCTGACCTCAAGTGATCTGCCTGCCTCAGCCTCCCAAAGTGCTGGGATTACAGGCATGAGCCACACCGCCCAGCCAAAAATGACTTTTTATATATTTACTTTCCCTCCCAGCCTGCAAACCCCTTGAAGTCAGAATCTGCACCCCAAAAAAAAAAAAAAATCATCTTTGGACTAGATATCATGAAGTTTAAGGATCTTGTATCTGGTCAGTGCTCAGTCAGCTCAAATTCATTAAACACTTGATTTTTTTTTAACCTTTAAAACCATATATACTTCACTGGCAGACATTATAGATAAATTTAAGCACCCCAGAGTTAAGGCTTATTATACTTATTTTGAGCCATTGAACACTTTCATTTCAGTGTTAGAGTAGTTAATAGAATCGAACACCTGATTTTGCCTACTATTTGGTAGGCACTGTGCTATGTACTAGAGATTTCAACAATGAGTAAGACTTCGTTCCTATCCTTGGGTTATGGAAAGATGGACATTTAAATACGTAAGTGCAAGTGAAGTGTTTATATGCTGCCCTAGTTATATATTAAAAGTATGGTGGGTACAAAAAAGGAGGAAACAGTTAATTTAATAACTTTTTAAAGGCACAGAACGAGGCCGGGCGCGGTGGCTCAAGCCTGTAATCCCAGCACTTTGGGAGAATGAGACGGGCGGATCACGAGGTCAGGAGATCGAGACCATCCTGGCTAACACGGTGAAACCTCAGACGGGCGGATCACGAGGTCAGGAGATCGAGACCATCCTGGCTAACACGGTGAAACCTCGTCTCTACTAAAAATACAAAAAAAAAAAAAAAAAAAAACGGCGGATCACGAGGTCGCAGATCGAGACCATCCTGGCTAACACGGGAAACCCTCGCTCTACTAAAAATACAAAAAAAGGTTAGAAGGGTAAGGGGAGTGCTGGTCTCCAAGTACTGGAAAAAAAAAAAAAAAAAAAAAAAAGGTTAGCCAGGCGCGGTGGCAGGCGCCTATAGTCCCAGCTACTCGGGAGGCTGGGGCAGGAGAATGGCATGAACCCGGGAGGCAGAGCTTGCAGTGAACTGAGATCACGCCACTGCACTCCAGCTTGGGCGACAGAGCGAGAATCCGTCTCAAAAAAAAAAAGAAAAAAAAAAGAATACCAGTTGACCATTTGAAAAATAAGCCTACCACTTCACACTAGCATTTCTAAAGAACAAAATCTCCCGTTCTCCTGATTTTTATTTGCCAGTTAAATATCCTTTTCTCCAATGCAACTTCCATGACAGCACAAGCATAATTTCTTAGCAGTGAGTAACTGCTGGGCCTACAGCCTGGCAGGTTGGAAAGAACTGGGGCTCAGAGGGACACTATCAGGTTCTAAGCTCTCTCTGACCTTGAGCAAGTAAAAAGACTTCCTGATACTTCCCATTTATTGAGACAAAAAGAGATCTAAAGATAAATCAAAATGTAGAAAGGGGTTTGAAATTAACAAGTAGGTAAAGATTTAAGTAGTCGTTTGTATTGAAAATCTAAGTACATAAACCCCAATCTTTTATTTTTTATTTTTGAAACAGGTCTCACTTTGTTACCCAGGCTGGAATGCAGTGGTGCGATCACAGCTCACTGCAGCCTCAACCTCCTGGGCTCCAAGTGATCCTCCCACTTCAGTCTCCCAAGTAGCTGGGACATGCCATTATGCCTGGCTAATTTTTTATTTTTTGTAGAGATGGGATCTTACTATGTTGCCCAGGCCATTCTTGAACTCCTGGGCTCAAACAAACTACTTGCTTTGGTCTCCCAAAGTGCTGGGATTACAGGCGTGAACCACTGCATCCAACCCTAATATTCTTAACAATAGAAACATTTTTATTCTATGTACAAACATAAAAGGAGATAAACATGGAAAGTTACTTAAATCTTAGAAACATATCTATAATCACAAACTCCAGAGAATCTAGAATAAAACTTTAGGATGGTACGGGGCCAGATTCAATGGATTTAATTGTTAAAACTATAGACCAAACATTCCCAACCACGCCACTGTAATTATACAAGGTTTTCAGGAATATATATTTTTTCTTTTAATGTGCTTCATTTTTTTTTCTATTTTGGTCAGTACATATTTCCTTTTTTTTTTCTTTAACACCAGTACCACTTGCCAACAACTTTCTTTAAAGATAAGAAAACCAGCTCTGTAGAATTTTATACTTAGTGAATGTTAGAAGCCTAGTACAGTACTTGGCTTTGTTAACTTTTCAACTTTGTTAAGTGCTTATGTTGTTTTAGAACAATATGTAACATGATTCCTGGAACTTGGCCTCTTCACATTTTTGTTCTTTGGTCAGTTTCGTAAAAAATTATTCAAGTAAAAGTTTCCAACTTATTGCTATATATTTTGAGCATACTATTTCTTTCTTTCTTTTTTTTTTTTTTGAGACGGAGTCTCACTCTGTGGCCCAGGCTGGAGTGCAGTGGCGCAATCTCGGCTCACTGCAAGATCTGCTTCCCGGTTCATGCCATTCTCCTGCCTCAGCCTCCCAAGTAGCTGGGACCACAGGTGCCCGCCATCATGCCTGGCTAATTTTTTGTATTTTTAGTAGAGACAGGGTTTCACTGTGTTAGCCAGGATGGTCTCGATCTCCTGACCTCGTGATCCACCTGCCTCGGCCTCCCAAAGTGTTGGGATTACAGGCATTGAGCCACCGCGCCCAGCCTGAGCATATTATTTCTTAATACTTTCCCTGACTGCAAGTCATCCTTTTCTCCATTCAAGTTATATTAAGTTATATTCTTATTAGACAATGATTTATGTAGTTATTTAAATGTAAAAATTTTTCATTTTCCTGTAAGACTTGTGTTTATAGAAATTTACACATCTATTCTTTAAGTACTTCTCAGAAAAATACTTTGCTTCCTTCACCTTATTTGTAGCTACTGTAGTGATGCTCTTTCCCAGCAGATGTTAATACGCAAAATCTGGCTAAATGTGGAGGTAAGTAGGTGAGGCTGGTGAGAACACATGTATTCCTTACACGGAGGGATGCCTGGGCTGCAAGAAGCACATGCCAACGTTTGGCAGACTACACACATAGCAGGTTCAGTGCTTCATCACTCCCCAGAATAAAGACTGATCCAGGCATCAAATACTGATCTGGTGATGCTGGGACTCAGTGTGAAAGATGAATAAACTTAGTATTACATACAATCTTTTAAAACTTGCTCTCAAACACAGCAGCTCTGGTTAGATTCGAATAAGGGAGGCACAGTCTCCTTATTTTCTCCTAGGCTCTGGCACTGACACTTAATAAGCCAGTGACAGTTTAGATATCTATATTGCTTTTGTTTTCTTTAAGGAACTATATCACAAATATATAAATACTTGTTATAATAGCACAGGCTATAGAAGAATTAACCTTCTATGAGCTAGTGTATGTACATGAGAACAAAAGATTCCTTTTGTTCTTACCTTTCCCATTTCTATCAAGCAGAGCATTGGTGGAGAAATGTCAGTTTAGGTTTTGCTTAAGAATATTAAGTGTAGCTCAAGAGGAAACAATGAGCTGCACCTGACTAAGAGAAGGCATCTTGGAGGTGGACATATAATTGACGTTCCTAAAGTTTAGTCAATATAAAGTCTCCAGACTTTCAGAGCCTCTGGCTGGGCACCCAGGACAGAAAACAGTTGGCAACAGAGTTCTGTTGGCCCACCACAAACTAAAGGAAAATGTCAGGCTATACAGCAGGTGGCTGGATTCTTCTGAAGCACACAAAGGCCGGTGTCACGTCAAAGTGCTTCACAGGGAGTCGGTCAACCTTCTCCATGGCACATGGTTACTCTCATTTCTGCCTGATGGAGAAACGTGCATTTGATACGTTCACACCCCGTGCCACAGTCTAGATGAGAGTGAGTACGGAGCCTCTGATCATTTACTTAGGCTGGGAAATTGTTAAGTATTTGGATATTACTTTGGAAATAGCTTACATTTGGTAAAGTATATACCCTCATCCCAAGATATCTTTAGGTGAGTGTAAAACGCTAAAAAGGAAAATGGAGCAACACTGATCCAGTTCATTCTACCTGAACTGGAAGAGGAAGCTTACGCAGGCTGATGGATAGGAAAGTCATTAATATTTCTACATTACAAAAGTAACTCATGAATGTATTTTTTAAAATTCAAACCTTAGAGAAATGTACACAGTAATATATGAAAGTCTTCCTACAACCTCTTCTCACCCTCAACCCATGCGCATTCACGTCCTCAGGAATCAACACTTCACAGTTGGGTTTGCATCCTTCAGAGCGTTCCTGGGCACGTGTGTGTGTCGTCTGGGTTGTCTGCTCTATGTGCATGGACATGATGTCCATGCTTCAATACGTCCATGTCGCAGAGAAATATGATACAATGGAAAAGTGATCTAAATTCCAAGTTTTCAATTCTTTCACACGAAGTTTTAACTTTCAAACCTTTGAAATATTCTCACCCTTCCAAAACACTTATATATTACATTAAAGACACAAATCTGTAGTAATTTAATGGTAACTAGAAACACAGGCCTATAAGGTTAAGAAAATAGTAAAAA